AAACAACTGCACCTCCCAGTCGCGAACCATTTCAACTCCCCCTCCACATTGATACCATTGGGCTGCAGGGTTCCCAAGCGGAATATGAGTTGTTGTTCCTGCAACCTTCGGGTGGCATCGTTGTGGCACTGCAGGAGGCCCAGGATGGACAAGTTGTGTGAGGAATGGGAGGGGGAGTTGAAATGGTTCGCGACTGGGAGGTGCAGTTGTTTATTGCGAACCGAGCGTAGGTGTTCTGCAAAGCGGTCCCCGAGCCTCCACTTGGTTTCCCCGATGTAAAGGAGGCCACAACGGGTACAGTGGATACAGTATACCACATTAGCAGATGTGCAGGTGAACATCTGCTTGATGTGGAAAGTCTTCTTGGGGCCTGGGATGGGGGTGAGGGGGGAGGTGTAGGGGCAGGTGTAGCACTTCCTGCGGTTGCAAGGAAAAGTGCCGGGTGTGGTGGGGCTGGAGGGGAGTGTGGAGCGGACAAAGGAGTCACGGAGAGAGTGGTCCCTCCAGAAAGCAGATAAGGGTGGGGAGGGAAAAATGTCTTTGGTGATGGGGTTGGATTGCAGATGGCGGAAGTGTCGGAGAATGATGCGTTGGATCCGGATGTTGGTGGGGTGGTACGTGAGGATGAGGGGGATTCTGTTTTGGTTGTTACTGCGGGGAGGCGGTGTGAGGGATGAGTTGCGGGAAATGCGGGAGACACAGTCGAGGGCGTTCTCGACCACTGAAGGGGTGAAGTTACGGTCCTTGAAAAACAAGGACATCTGAGATGTACGGGAGTGGAATGCCTCATCCTGCGAGCAGATGCAGCGGTGGCGAAGGAATTGGGAATAGGGAATGGCATTTTTGCAGGAAGCTGGGTGGGAGGAGGTGTATTCTAGGTAGCTGTGGGAGTCGGTGGGCTTGAAATGGATATCGGTTTCTAGGTGGTTGCCAGAGATGGAAACAGAGAGGTCCAGGAAGGAGAGAGAGGTATTAGAGATGGTCCAGGTGAACTTAAGGTTGGGGTGGAAGGCGTTGGTGAAGTGGATGAACTGTTCGAGCTCCTCGTGGGAGCACGAGGCGGCGCCGATACAGTCATCAGTGTAACGGAGGAAGAGGTGGGGTTTAGGGCCAGTGTAGCTACAGAAGAGGGATTGTTCCACGTAACCTCTCCACCTATCTTCTCCTCTATCCATCTTCTATCCACCTCCCCCTCTCTCCCTATTTATTTCAGAACCCCCTTCCCCTCCCCCATTTCTGAAGAAGGGTCTAGGCCCGAAACGTCAGCCCTCCTGCTCCTCTGATGCTGCTTGGTCTGCTGTGTTCATCCAGCTCTACACCTTGTTATCTCAATTCTCCAGCATTTGCACTTCCTACTATCTCTCGAACATTTTGGCATTTCAGTTCCTATTATCAATTAGACGCTTTATCAACACTTTTTCACAAACTCAATTCTCCCTTAAGTTTCGTCACATAGCCAGTGTGTAAGTACCTTCATTGCAAAAATACACTTACAACAAGCAATCCTAAGGACACTTCTGAATTATGTAGGCAAAGGAGGAACTTCTTGATTGATTCCCCTCAAATCAGTTGGTGTTGCTCACTTCTAGCATGATAAGGTTTTGATTGTTTTAGATAGCAGATATACTGTGGGTTTGGCCACAGTGTAGATAAAAGCATAATTACCTCATCTTCGAAAAAGAAAACTGCAATGCCAGAAATCTGTAATTAAAGGAAAATTTGCTTGAAATGCCCAGAAGAAAGGTTATCTCGACCCAAAAGGTAACTCTGTTTCTCTGTAGAGCTGTCTGACCTGCTGAGTATTTCCCGAATTTTTGATTTGCTTTTATTTTTCTGATCTTGACCTTGAAATGCTTAACTTTGGATTTACGCACATATTTTTCAATAATATTGCAATGATGGGTCTGTGGCAAGAAGTCTTTGCAAGTTTTACTGTAATTCTTTTTCCCAACCCCCTCTCTTTGATGGCATTGATTCCTTACCTGCCCAATTTATGAAGGATTGTAACATTTTTCATGTCAAGTGTGACCATTGTTGATGTGTGATTCCTCTTTCTGAGTACTGGTGGCCATTCAACACCTCACCGGATCTTCATCAAATGTAACCTTCCAGCTGGCTGAGTTTCTCCTCAAAAATTAGAAACATTAGGGCAATTTCAGTAGCTCAGATACAGCCTGGGTGGGGATTAGTTAACAGAACCCAGGCTTGGGGTCAAAAGTGAAATCTTTCTAAGGTATATTATGGATATTATGCAACAGAATGTAGCTACACTTGTTTAAAGTCTACACCATAATGTTGGAAAGTGAGCCAAATTAGTCATCCAAATCTAAAGGTTTCTGGGGGATGGGGGAAAGTGGTTCTGACCCCAGATTGGCCAAAGATCGCTGATTCTGGATCTGATGTATGATCTGCAATACTAACATGCTTGAATTTACCAGCGTAACGCTACGAAAGGAAACCAGCAGAAAACATAAGCACTGATACCAAAAGCTTCTATAAGTATATAAAAAGGAAGAGAGTAGTGGAAGTAAATGTTGTTCCTTTAGAGGACAAAAATGACGAGGTAATAATGGGAAACTCCAAAATGGCAGAGGCACTAAACCAATACTTGGTCTCTGTTTTCACAGTGAAACATAATAATTTATTCCCAAAAACTGCAGTTCCCACAGAAGAACTTGGTGAAATTACTATAACTACAGAGAATAAATACATATAAATACCATATTAGGTAAACTGATGAAATTAAAGGCAGATAAGTCTGTAGGGCCTGATGGCCTGCCCCCTAGGCTATTAAAGGAGGTGGCAGCAAAGGCAGTGGATGCGTTAGTTATGATATTCCAAAAATTCCCTGGATTCTGGAAAGGTACTCGTGAATTGGAACCATCTAATGTAACACCCTTATTCAAAAAGGGAGATAGGCAAAAAGTGGGAAACTATAGACTAATTAGTTTGACATCAGTCGTGGGGGCATTGCAAGTGTCAATTGTAAAAGAGGAGATAACTGAAGACTTGGAAAAACAAATCTCAATTCACCAGGGTCAGCATGGTTTCATAAAGGGCAAGTTGTGCTTAACAAACTTGCTGGAGTTCTTTGAGGATATGACCAGCAAGGTGGGGGATCTGGTGGATGTGGTATATCTAGATTTTCAGAAGGCATTTGAAAAGATGCCACATAAAAGACTGGTCCAGAAGGTTAGATCGGGCGTGGTTAAGCGTAGAGTATTGGCTTGGATAGAGGATTGGCTGACTGACAGAAAGCAGAGGGTCGGGATAAATGGGTCCGTCTCTGGATGGCGAATTGTAACTTGTGGGGTGCCACAGGGTTCGGTTCTTGGACCTCAACTGTTTACAATCCGTATAAATGATTTGCAAGCAGGGACAGAGTGTAACGTAGCAGAATTCATGGATGATACTAAAATAGAAGATAAAGAGTTTACTGATGGATATTGATTGGAGAATGAGCTAGATTCTGGCAGATGAAATTTAATATAGATAAGTGCAAGTTTTGGCTGGAAAATTATAAAGGCATATTAATATTTAAAAAGGAAGCAGATATGAATTGCATCAGAGGAGAGGGATCTGGGCATCTTTATGCATGGATTGCGGTAAGTGGGTATGAAGGTGCAGCATATAATAAGAAAGGCAAATAGAATCCTGGCATTTATTGCAAAAGGGCTGGATTTTAAAAGTAAAGAAGTGTTGTTACAATTATATAAGGCATTGGTGAGACCACATCTGGAATATTGTATATTACTTGAGGAAAGATGTTAAGGCACTGGAGGCAGTTCAGAGGAGGTTCAGCAGGTTGATTCCAGGGATGAAAGGGCTGACCTAGGAGGAGTGGTTGAATAGTTTAGCCTTGTACCAGCTGGAGTTCAGAAGAATGGAGGATGGAATCTGATTGAGGTATATAAAATGCTAAAGGGGATTGATACGGTGGAAGTTGAACAGATGATCCCAATTGTGGGACAGTCTCGAACAAGGGGTTATAGATGTATTGAGCGGAGGTTTCGTTCAAAACTGAGATGAGGAGAAACTACTTTCAGAGGGTTGTGAATCTGTGAAGCTCTCTGGCCCAGAATGCAGTGGAGGCAAAATCGATCAACAGTTTCAGGAAAGAAATAGGTATGTTTCTGATGAAAAGTGGGATAAAAGGCTATGGAGAGTAGGCAGGAGAGTGGAGTTGAGACCAGGGTATGATCAGCATGATTGTGCTAAATAGTGGAGGGGGCTCCAAGGACCTAATTGCCTACTCCTGCTCCTAATTCCTATGTACCACTGCTTTTGTCTTGATTTGTATTACTCCCCCTTCTCCTTGATCCTGGGAAACAGTGAACTTTGTTTCTTTAGAACCTATTTGCAATGGAATTATGTTGTTACAACCAGATGGTGGTTTTGTATATAATTGAGGTGTTTCGAAAGGAACTGTCATATTCAGACATTGTACCTACCGTATGCTATAGACATCAGTTTTGCCTTCAGGCAGTCATGATATTTGCTGTAAAACACAAAAGATGAGTGCCAAACTGCTTTCATCTGTTACAGGGGAACGGAGGAGAAAGGTGGTTTGTGTGCGTAAGAGTGATCACTTGGTTGTTTCTGACCAAAGATGTGAACATTTGCCTCGCCCAGTACCCGACACTGAGCCGTGCAACACAGAATGTGAAGTAAGGTAAAGACTGCTATTTTAGTTGGTCGCTGCGGAACAGAATTTTCAACAATGCATTTCTGATTCGACTCACTGAGATAGGATATCTGCTGCATGGGAAATCATAGGGGCCATGTCATCAAAGGCATACGTCCTTCTGAACAACCGTACTTAAACTGAGGCGACAATGAATAAAGGGGTGATGATGGAATGAACATCTGTGCTGTAAATGATATTGAATGATGCATGGAAGCAGCCTTTTATTTTGAAGAGTTTTGTTGCATGCCTCACTCTAATTAAAATCCATTTCTGCTTAAACCTGGGAATGATGGGCAAGCCCTTTTGACTCATCTTGCATTCCTGAAAGTGGAACTCCACGATGACCAGAGCCTTCATTTTACTCCGGGTTCTTTCCCCACCTCCTCGCTTCCCACCTCCTTGCTCCCCCTCCCCCCAGTCCAGGAAGTAGAACACAGTTGGGGACAAATGCAATTTTATTTGCTTTCAAGTCACAGACTCGCATTTTGCAATTGCTGGAGTTGCACTCCTGGCATGTGCTAAGAGCACATGGCAAAATTGCAATGTCCCTTTCTTCCCCTTCCCCTTCTCCACCCTTGCCACTCCCTAGATGTCTTCACCTCTGAGTCAAACCTCCCCGATTCTCAGCAGGATTACAATCACAACCCATTTGTTAGTTTGTACAGGTTGGCAGGAGAAAGCAATTTTTGTACACAGTGCAGATGGCCACTCTGAAGCTCTGTTAAGAGTGGATGCTGTGTAAGAATGAAAGGGGCACACAAGCAAATGTGTTGGGTGCTCTGTTGAAGTCAATGTGTGTTAACTGCTTGCAATCCATTTTATCCCTGGAAAATGGAGAGCAGGCACTTGAATGCCCTGAGATGTGATGCACATCTCAGACAATGGAGGTCCACTGGATATAGTCTTAATTTGGGCCTGCAGTTGGTTATCCCAGAGAAAATGTATGAGGCCTTTTGCATTGTGCAGCTCACCCCAGAGACTCCCTGCTGATTTTGAGCAGAAGTCAAAAATCTCTCCACCCCTGTGTTGTATCTGCAGCCTTTCCGTACTAATGCTTGGTAGAACAAAATGTCCACTCCTTGATGAGTGTGATCAAAATCATCAGGTCAGAAAAAGACTTACCATAATCTTATGGATGTTCCAAAGAATTAGTTCTTCTCAATCAAATTAAAAACGATTGACTTTACAATATAAGTAGCTCTGCTCTGATTCTAGGTGGCACGCAGTAGGTAAGAGTGAATGTACGGCGCAGTGCGGACCAGGCTACAGAACGCAAGACATTCACTGCATAAAGTATACCCACGACAAAGGACCAAGTGAGTCAATAGACGACAGATACTGCAGGGATCAGCCAAAACCTCCCAGCAGAGAGCCCTGTCATGGTGACTGCCACAGAACCAGTTGGCATTATACATCCTGGTCACAGGTAATGGTTAGAGTGTGCAACCTAACTGCCTCAACCCCGTGGACAGGCATACATTTATTGAATGTATTATCATTGGAATTGAAGGTTCGGCAATCAGGAAATCCATGCTCTGAAGTCAGTTTTGTTCGCCTTACTTGAGGAAGGATGTAATTGCTTTAGAAACAGTTCTGAGAAGGATCCCCAGATGAATTCCAGAATTGACATTCATGTCTTATGAGGAGAGATTGAACAAGTTAGGCCTATACGTGCTCGAGCTTAGAAGGATGAAAGAAGATCTAACTGCAGTGCACGTGATGCTGAAGGGGATTGACAAAGTAGATGCAGAGTGGACATTTCCACTTGTGGAGCAACCTGGAATGAGAGCTCATATTTTTGAGGGAAGGCAGATTTAAAACAGAGATGAGGAGGAATTACTTCTCTCAAAGGGGTCATGAGTCTGTGGAATTCACTACCCCAGAATATGTTAGATGCCGTGACACTGAATAAATTTAAGGTGGGGATAGATTTGTAATGGGTTAAAAGGTTGTGAGGAGCGGGCCGGAAAATGGAGTTGAATCTGAGATGAGATCAGCCATGATAGTGTCAAATGGCAGAGCAGACTCGGGGGCATGAATTGCCTACTCCTGCTCTTAGTTCTTATGTTCTGATTTTGTCTGAAAACATGGACTTCAGTAGGAGAGCATTGATGATCAATCATATTGTCTAAAATTTATGAAACACTCATTTACTATTTTGAGCAATATCCACTTGTATTGACGTGAGGTCCATGCACTTGGGGTGCAAAGAGAATAATGTTGTATTTCCAATTGGTAATGCACCTTCATTTGGACATTCCTGCATACATAACCTTATGGATCATTTATTTGGTTTTCTTAGTGTACAAAAACATGTGGTGGTGGAACAAAGACTCGGGAAGCATACTGCATGAACAACCTTGGCAGACGCCTTGTTAACCAAGAGTGCAATGAGCATCAGAATGTCGTATCTCAGAGATGCAATGAATTTCCTTGCCCTGAATGGACAGCCAGTGAATGGAGCGAAGTGAGTAAAGCTTTAAAAAGTTAAAAGATGCAAAAAAAAGGCTGAGCAAACGTCAATGCTAACCTAACTCATATCGAATTCAAAGTCTTATTGCACAGTGTTAGACTGGAGGCAATTCATTATATTTGCTGTTAGGTTTGAGCTATCAGACATTGTCTATACACTGTATCAAAGAGGGAATATCTGACCATGGTCCACTCAGAGCTGTGCAAGGGAATTAATTAGACAAAGTGTAGCATCAACAGAGAATTGGGAATTGATAATTTGCATTCTCCCTGAGCTGGGTTGTGATGTAGCACCTGTAGAATGTTGGGAAAAAAAGTAATCATTTAGAAAAAATGTACAGGTTCCGACATGATAAGTCGATGCTTTCTGAAATTGTTCATGTAGTTTTAAAATAATATGACAATAGTACTGATATCAGCAGTGGTTTAATGAAACAAATTGACGTATGGAGCTATGAGGATGGATAGCAGAATCTGCGGTAGGCACACATTAAGGACTGTGTAGAATGATAGCCAGTTCTCCAGTCTCATCCTTCATTCAATTATATTGCATTTGATTCACTTGTTAACTCTAGTTAACAAGGTGTGGAGCTGGAGGAACACAGCAGGCCAGGCAGCATCAGAGGA